TTTTAATAATCAAATATAATAAATTAAGAAAAAAGAATTCCGCAAATGGTAAATTACGAGTAAATAGCAGCAATAAAACCGAAAAGTGGGGCGTTCGTAAAAAATCGTTTATGTTCTAAATATGGAAATAAACAAGGCAGAGTTTACTTTCAATCGGTCATTATCGGAAAGGAACTATTATCTTTCAGAGATTATTGCAGTATGTATTGCCTATTAGTATAATAAAACCAAAGAAAGTAAAATGGTTCCACATTTGAATTCCAACGAGGCTGCATCAACAAGCTTCCACTAGTCCTTTGTGTAGACTCTTCATTAATCGATGCATAGCCTCAGAACAGAGAATCTAAACCACTGTGAACACCAAAAATATTTAACGTCTATCCATAGATGATCGAAATCAGCAAGATGCCTTACTATTAGAAGCACGGCTAGTAAGAAAAGCTAATCTTTTTACAAGAATCAATATACATCTCAATGAACTGCGTGAGATTCCATGGAACTTACAAAGACTTCATATGACTCCAAGGGACTCCATACAAGTGGAGTCTGTACAGTCTGCTGCATCCCTGTCACCTATACACTAATGCACACCTAAAGGATCGCTTATTTCGAGGATTATTCTGGAGATTAAAACACATTTCATCAAGATCTACAGTCAACATCTGTCAAGGACTTGAATCGCTATTGAATTTTTACACTCGATGATTTCCGTTATCGACGACATAGAGATTGCCGTGTCGATCGAATGACAAACCGAAGGGCCCATTGAGTTGGTTTGATTGTTCTCCTCTACCGTTTCCACCAACAATGACACTTCCCTGTGTGGCTCCTTTGAGCCAACGCATGATTCGAGCATTCCTCGAATCAGCCACATAGACAGTGCCCAATTGATCGACAACGACTCCTCGAGGAGAATACAATCATGTAAGACCATTTCCTTGTCCTTGACCACCAGCCACGACAATGCCTTGTTTTGCACCTTCCACCCATTTCATCACACGATCATTTCCCCAATCAGACACGTACACTGAATGATCTCGATCGACGAATACGTATGCGGGGAAAGAGAGTTGATCGAGACGATTTCCACGCCCATTACCACCTGCAACCACTGTTCCTTGAGATTCTCCTCTTCGATATCGTCTCACTTCATCTTCTCTATAGTCAGTGACATAGAGAGATCCATTCTCGTCCATTGTCAAACCCCAACAATCGATGTTGGAGATGATCGTTTCTCCACTTGTCCCATTTCGACGAGGCCATCGAACCACTCTGTTATTCGAACCATCGCAGATGATGAGACTATCTCTCTCTTTGTCGACAATCACATCTGTTGGGTTATACAACTGATGAGCTCCACTTCCTTGTCCATTTCCACCGGCAACCACTTGGCCACTCGTCGCACCCCATTTCCATTCCACAATACGATGATTCGATTGATCAGCGACATAGACACTTTGATCATCATCAACATACAAACCCAATGGGTCAGAGAGTTGATTGATTCCATTGCCTTGTCGATTTCCTCCAGCCACAGTGATATCATTCTGTTGCCATCGAGCATTCGGATGAATGTTGGTGCTGGACGGAGAACGTAATGGGTAGTCTGAAATAGAGACAAGAAAAATTATAAAATAAGAGATAATGAGAGAGATAGAGAACAATTTTCTCTTCATAGAAATCGGATTTGCTACAAGACGAGAAATCTTTTTTAGTCAAATTCTCAACATTGTCAACAACGATTGCTTTATCTCAACTATTTTGTTGAATTCAAAGTTATTCATTGCCACTTTTTTCGGTCAGTTATGCATTAGTCCTTCGTTTTGTTCTTAAATTCAAATCCATAAGATTTGTACACAGACAACAATGGCATTACATTGTTCATATTCTTCTAGAGAAGAAGTTCTGATGAAATAAAGAGTCCTACTTATGACCGGTTTTCAAAGAGAATAACAAAGGAGAATTTTTATCACAAAAGAGTTGATTTAAATGCTTAATTGGAGAATGGTTAAATCTCTGACTTAATTCTTCGATGAGAATTTAAATATCGTTAGACGAATGAATTCATTGTTGTCGTGTAACTTGAAAATTTGAATCCATTTGCTCATATATAGCATCATCAATCTTCTTGTTGAGAATCACTTTATTCAAATATTTTTTTTATAGCATAAAGAGAATGAATAGTTCAATAGGTCATACAATTTTGTTTGTATTTTCTTCTTCAGCTACTTTTATTTCGTTATCTTACTTTGAAAAGTATAGTTTTCCGAAAGCCTGATTTTTCATTACAAAATTAAACCATCGATTATTGAAATTGGCCAATGTCTACCATACTAATTATTCGCAGATCGAAATTTCAACGATAGAGAATTGTTGTAATCACTTTTCGATGAAAAATCAATTCTCAATGCATTCTTTGAGTAATGAGAATCTCGGTGTTCTCCTATCATATGGACATATCTTTAACTATTTTACTCTGTCGTTTGTGTTCAACAAATATGATAGAACTCAACAACTTACATTTATTAATCATAAGTATGAGCGATGAATTGGACAAAATGAAAATGATCTACCACTTCCTCTTGTAAGAGATTGATCAATCAACGACAAGCTTTTGAACAGAAAGTCCTACTCGATACATCAATTGTGTAGTCGTCATTATATCGTAATGAAGGTCACTTTAAAAAAATCATTGATGACAGAGCTCGCCTTTTATCAATGAATTATTTTTTTTCTCCGTAATTCATATTCATTCAAGAATCGAGAAATAACCAAAATAGTTGTTTTCAAATTTACTCAATTTTGATTTGACATGCTGCAATGTGTTCTCAGTTCTTACGGCAACTTTCATAGATTGACTTTTTGTTTCGAAACATTTTTTCATTATTTAATACAACAGAAGAACGATAAAAGTCAAACCTTGAATGTTTGTTAATTTTTCAAAAGAAATATTTTCGTCCTCATTTTCAATGAAATATCTGATGAAAATATCAAAATCAAAGTCAGGAATATGTAACAGATTTCATGATTCCAGATACAAATTTAAATAAAAAAAAAAATATTTATTATTTGACAGAACGAAGAACAATGAAATCGATTCCACTATTTTGATCAAATGAATGATGCAACTCATTGAAAGCAAGAATGATTACTGAATGCAAATCTAGTCATTTTTTATATTTGACATCTATAATTTATAGTCCAGAAGCTGTCATTTTTCGTCTTGAGAACACGTCACAGGGTGAGTTGTCTTCGATAAAGGGAATGGTGCATCATTACTGTTAACAAACCATCTCTTCTCAATGAATCAAATCATATTGAATAATGTCTCTCAATTAGATGCGTAAATGACATTGAAACAATCACTTATGCAGTAAGCTATACATGTATTTAAGAACAGGTATTCAAGAGAGAGCTATGCGGATTTTTTAGAGAATTTTGGGCTTCCATATTGACTCCACTGAGAACTTCACAAAAGACAAAAACATATTTATATGTATTATGGTGCTTTGGAATTGTTTTATCGAGCGCTGAGTGAAAATCTAAATACTGTCAATCAAGTTCAATCGTAACAAGGATACTGAATTCGTTGGCCGAAAATATCTGGTTGTTGTTTGAAAAAGTAGAACACAAATTAAAAAAGAATAAGAAACTAATTTTCAGAATAACTTCAAGATAGTGTCTGCTTTAAAAAGTACTTGTCTGCATTTAATTTGCAGGATTCGTCAATATTTTTACGAATGCGTTTGTTATGTAATGCGTCGACAATGTAGCTCTCTACCGATTTTCGAAATTATCTTGAATTCTCAACTAAAGTTAACTTTTTCTTTCGTAAGTTTGCAAAAGTAGTTGTGCGCGTTGATGTATGATTTTTTCAATCAACGTTTTTCCTTTAGCTGTTCGTTGCACTTCTGAATAATCATAGTATAAACCACAAAAGAAATGAATATCACAAAAAAACCGTAACTTGTGAGGAAAAAAATCTTTCTGAGACTTCGAGTCTCTATCAAATATACCATCATATTCAAAATCAAAGATGGAATTAATTCAGATTTCTTACGCATTCTTTCGTTTGTATCTTCAAATGTTTTAAACAAGACAGATTGGATAATAGTCCCAACATGTTGTTCTTCATCACCATTATATCAGTTCAATGTAACATAAAAATTGACAATTCCATTTATTAATTTGCCAAAAACGATGGTAAAACCTATTTCACTATAATTGATTGTCACACTAATACATTGAGATTGTGGGATTCTATAGAATCATAGTCTTCTCATCTTGTTAGAGGTTCAAATGATACATCAGTGTATAGAATGCAGTTTTGCCAGCTGATCGATGTTGTCTATATTAGCATTATTTCTGTAGGTATTTGGCAACATTCAACTATCAAATTAGTATTTTCAAATCGATTTTCTTTAAAACTGTTCTTCCTAACTACTGATTTCGATACTTCATTGATATGAATGACTCAGTTTGAAAGAAATATCGATTTGAATAGCACATCTTCTCATTTGTTCATGAATAGAAAACTTATATTAAGTGCAGCAGAAAAGCATTCAACTATTTATATTTCATGAACTTCTTAACTAGCTCTCATTGAAGAAATCTATGCTTAATCTCAAAATATTCTCTATCCATTTTTTCATCAAGTTAATGCTTCTAAACTTCTTGTATAACATAATGATTGAATTTCTTCAGATTTCACAATTTTGTAATTGAAAAAAGTTCTCCTCGCTTTATTCGCTCGAGGTTTGATTTTCAAATAACTGTTTGATCAACATGTTGCACTTTATTGAATTGGTTTCGATTTCGTTGTTAAAACCTACTAAGTCCGTAGTGCAATATCTAGTTCAATTTCTATGATCTCTGCCGCTGAAATACTATTGAATGTATAGTGGAATTTTTAACACATTTAAATATGTATCAATCAAGTGGTATTCTTCAGAGTAATTGTTGATATTTCAATACTTTCAGACTCAGTATCGTACTGAATATTCTTTAACGTATTTAACTAGACGAGTTGACACTCCACTCTTTTGTGAAAAATTCTAAACACTGACATTGACTATGGAGATAAATAGAAACATGGGTTTGTAATAAATAGTAGCATGAAAATGCATGTGACTGTGATGTCTGATTATTGACTTGAACCTAGTCACATCGACAAACTCTCTATGCAAATCTCGATTGTATGAATTAGTTAGAATTTTGAAATGAAAGAAATAGTCGATATCAACTAAAAGAAAACCTCTTTCGAAGTCATGTTTCAACATTAAGAACGGATCCTTGTCAGATAAATCACTTTTAATTAAGATCAGTAACCATCATTTAATATGTATCAGGGATATTTGGATGATTTTAATTGTTCATCAAATTTTCAGAGGCATTCTATTTTTCTTTCACAAGAAAAATGTAATTGGATCGATTTTTATTTTTTGGAAAGTGAGTCGACTTCAAGACGTTTTCTCTGCATGACTACCGAATATGACGACTGTTCAAGTTTCCATTTCTCAGTCATTATTAAAAGTAGGTGACCGATCACTCTTACTTTCTTCTCAAGCAAAATTTAGTAACTAATGAAGAATATCATATCGAAGAAGATTTGTTACTTCTTTTCTCTTTGAACTCATCGAATGTAATAAATCAATAAACACAATGTTGCTGTCGTTTTACAATTGATAGCGTTCTTGATGTTTGCACTTCGTGTATATTCGAGATTACGTATTTCTTTGCTCAGACTAAAATCAAGGATGATATTCGAATTCTGAATATTTTTGGTGGAATGAAAAAAACGGTATAAGTGTCAAGAATAATTGTAACATTGTTTTGAGTATTCTATGAATTGAAGTAAAACACTGATAGCGATTGATTGCAGTATTTTGATGATTCGAATTCAAATGAAAACTAGAAACAGGTATTTTTCTACCGATACCCAATGGTAACCACTTTGCTAGATATTATTCTTTAATTTATTCAGTAGTTAGAGTTTCTATTATTTCATATTTCAAATCCATACCTTTAGTGGCACATATCCGCATTCCCTAAAATAAAGAGTTTAAATTTCTTATTAAACTTTCAAAATGATTGTCTATTACAAGCAAGGGAGAAACAGCAGAGACTTCGGTCGTGAAGTTCCATGAAGTCTTGAAAGTCTTTTAAAGTCTCTTGAAGTCTCCTGAAGTCTCGTGAAGTCGTTTGAAGTCTTCAAGTCAGCTGTTTTCCCCTTCAGGTATAGTCTATATGAGTGCATCAGGGAGATTTTTTTATCGAATACATAATTGAATGTACTCTCTCTAATGAAACTATTTGTAACTTAAAATGCACTGTCTAGTAAAGAGGTGTGGGTGTGGGTGGGTGTTAATATCATTCACAGACACCCACACCCACACCCAGTGCTATGTTACTGATTAATTAGTCATCAATGTTCATCACTAACTACTTAGTAATTCATGTTTACAACATATATAAGGAATACTTTCCTTGTATGAAATCATTCTATTCAATCGAACATCTCATCATCAATAGATTGAGTAAGTAATCTAATAAGATTTTTCTTTTTAGGAGGTGCAATTTACATTTATTCCAATGATTATACAATTCCTTATAATGAAGTTTATAAAATTCATATGATACAATATCATTATTTACATATGTTATGTTACATATATACGTATATTACTCATATTTTAAAATTATTACTAAACTTTTTTTGCAATAACAATAGATAACGTTAAATTATTCTCTATATTATTTACTATATTGCAACAAAATGATTCACGATGTTCCGAAGTCGAATTATCCACTTGGATGTTATCGTTTCGGTCGAACCGTAGCATTATTAATTAACTCATGCAATGATTTGTGTATTCTAATCTCAGATCGAGTATATTGCTTATTATTTTCTATTAATAAGAATAGAGATATGTAGGGGGTCCCAAAATTACAGGACCCCCCTCAAATTTTGAAAACAATAAAGCTTTCTCCAACTAAAAAAGATTTTATTACCGATCTAATGCAATAGCTATGGACACATAGTAGCAGTCTATCATGTGCTATATTGATTTCAATTTAATCAATTAGCATTAATGAATAAATTCAAAAACTTTCGAATTTCAGGTGTCCCATAATTATAGGACCCTCCTTCCCCAAATATAAAAATATACCATTGAATAGAGCATCAAAAACTGCATCTACTACATATGTTTTCAAAAAAGACTTTTTTGAGTTCTTGACAATTATGATAAGGCATTCTAAGTTCTTTGTTCTAAAGGACATGTCAAAAATCTCTGATTCCATACCAAAAACACACATAAAGTTTTTCTTCAAGGACATCATTAGAAAGAGCACAAAATTCTGCACAATATAGGCTGTTTTGCTGTTCTCGCAACCCAATCACATAAAATTTGAAAGATGGTCTCGTAATGTGGGCAAAACGACGGCTCATTCTGCTGGGGAAATGAGAAAAATGAGAAAGATCAAAAGAGATATGTTTCAAATTCTATGGGATTGGCTGGCAAGAACAGCAAAATAGGCTATATTGTGCAGAATTTTGTGCTCTTTCTAATGATGTTCTTGAAAAAAAAAGCACTTTCCGTGCAATTTTGGTATGGAATCAGAGGTTTTTGACATGTCCTTTAGAACAAAGAATTCAGAATGCCTTATCGTAATTGTCAAGAACCCAAAAGTCTTTTTTGAAAACATATGTAGTAGATGCAGTTGTTGATGCTCTATTCAATGGTATACTTTAAATTGAATTTCGAAACATTGAAGAAGCAAAAACTTGTTTTTGTTGAGCTTCATAGAGATAATTTTGATATTTAACCTTTCTACCATATAACTTCTTAATTGTCATCAATCCTTTTTTCCCGACTTATATCTGAGAGTCTTCTCTTTCAAATTGATGCTGAAAAAGAATCATTTGATTTGACAAAATTAACATTAACTTAATATTTTTATATTTGAGGAAGGGGGTCCTATAATTATAATTGCACTCTAGTTTTTATTTTCTTACTTTTTATCCAGAGAAAAAGGATGACAAGTTGAATGACTTAAAAAATGGTCACCTATTTATAAAAGTATCTTTTTATATTATAATAATAAAGAAAGCTTTATGTAAAAAATGGGCACTGAAGTTTCACATACTCATTCAAACACAAAAAAAGAACAGTAATCGACTATAATGAAGTTCTCTCGAGAATTCTGAAGTGCATGATCAGTAAAGTATAAACAGAGAAAGAAAAAGCATATTTTTTAAACAAAAGGTAATGAAAACCATCAAAAAATTTGGCAAAAAACGAGTTGTGAAATAAAAAAAGTATAAACAAATTCCATTGTAACCACTCTTTGGTAGTTCAAGATCTATAAATTATATTTGACTTTTTGTAATCATAGAAGGTTATTCTTGCATAGTTAAGTCTTATTTCTTAAATATATATATTTTGACTTCAATTTCAGTCTAAAATCACACTGTCGAATTAGATGCTCACCCATGACTTGAAAAGCCATCTATACTGTTTTGTAGAATAACTCGTAACGCATCGAATGGTTTATAGGAAGTTGTCTTTTCATTAAGTCTTAACGTTCTGAAAAGTCATGTATCAAGTAAGACATATTATATCAATTGTGAGTAATATGACAGAATATTATCATTCAATACGTTCAGAAATTAGTTTATATAAAATTTTGTTTAAAATGAATTCGCTAGAGATTTTCTGATCTTCATTTATATATATCTAATAATACTCTCAATAGTTTTTTTGATACTGAAACTCTTTGTATTTTTCCTAGCTTCTGTAATTTTTAACTTTTATGATGGTTTGGTTTCCTTGATACCACTCCTAAAACAAAAGGCAATTAACCATACAATTTTCTCGTTCTATAAATATGCCAGTTTATAATCGAAAACCTCATAGTCAAATCAGTTGATCAATACCTAAATATTATCTATTAATAACAAACCCATCATATCCTGTCGTTTGATAGATATGGGTCTTTCGAAAATGGAAAAACATTTTTTGCTTCTGAACACTTGGAAGAGATACTGGATCATGCATAATTTTTAATTTTTATAAGAAAGCAAACATATTGATTGTAATAGAACTTCATATCTTGTTGCGACTTCGCTACTCGAAATCTAAATTCCTCGGAAATAAAATTCAGGACTTCGAAAACGTAAAGTTTTTTTTTCCTATTTTCGAAAGAACCATGTAAATCAAATGATAGGGTATGATGACCTTATTAATAATAGATAGAAACTTTTTCATACAAAATGTATTTATCGAAATACTAATATGCTTTTCTATTACTTAGGAATCGAGAAATTGACTTTTTTTTTAGGCATTGATTAGTCGATTTCCATTCAGAACAGAGATTTGTACTACGCCTAAAAAATAGATTGTTTTATAGCATTTCTTAAAAAAAATTACAGCTTCATCTCTAAACATTTGCCTAAGAATAACAACATAAAGTTGCAAATACCACAAAAGAATATTACATTAGGCAAGATGTAACCGGATATGTATATACTTATAAGACGTTCGCTTTAAATATTATGCTCGTCATAATGAAATTCACCAAGTTTTGAATTAGTTCGATTTGTTATCAAGTTAATTATTAATCAACATTGATAACGATTTAATTGATGAACTTAATAAACGGTATCTTGAAAACAATGAGTCTGTCAACGATTAAATCCTATCTCTCAAATTTTTAGCTTTTAATGTACATTCATTTTTGAAAATTTCTAACAATAGAATTTAACAGCTGGCATGATTACAGTGTGGGCGATGCACATCTATGATTCAGAGGACAATAAATTGATAAATTTATCGAGTTTGGTAACACAAAAATTCTGAGAAATTTATACGGTTGAACATTCACATCCATGAGAAGAAGTACTGTCAATGACTTCAGATCACCATAAAAGACAAAAATTACAGAAGCTAAGAAAAAGGCTAAGATTGCTTTAAACAATTATATATTAACTGAATTGAAGACAGACTAAATAACAATATGTGGTTATATTACCTGAAATTGATATAATATCCTCTATGGGATGTATGACTTCTGAGAACGTTAAAACTTGATGAAAATACCACTTCCTTTATACCATTCGATACATCACGAGTTGCTCTGCAAAATTATATAAGTGACTTTTCAAATGATGGATAGTTATCTTATCCCACATCGTCCCTTATCAAAAGAATTGATCATATTATTAAAAATCGAAGCGTTCATTTTATCAAAACGTATTTTTAAGGAAGTTGTTCTTTTTTTTTTACTTGAATTTTCTACACACAAGAAATCACTCAAATGCGCATGTAGTATTCCGTTAGTGTAACACGCATGGAAAAAAAACATGTGTATTCAGCTGTAAAAAAAACCCAACAATTAATTTCTCTTTACGTCACTATAGGTCATATTAAACTTTCGACAAAACAAATATGTATATCAGGTCTAAACATGTAACTATATATTTTTTTTGTAGTTTATTGATTTCAATAAAAAACAAATACATCTACGTGAGATAATAGAAAATTATTTGAATTAATGTAAATGGCAAGTACAATAGTGAAAAACATGTTGAAGCTTTATTGATTTTTATAGATATTGTTGTTTGATCGGAAACTAAAAATAAATAATGATAAATGAATTTCTGTTTTTAATTTGTAATTTGATCGCTTTTTTTTTTTTTTACTTTTATTTCGTTTAAGTATTTGCATACGTGGTGTTGTTTGCTCAGTGTTTTCTATGACTTTGGCGCTTGTTAAACGACGATTTTCTTTGAATTTAGTGAATATTTATTTTAACAACAGGAAAAGAAAAGGAAATATATTTTACCTCGTAATTCAATAACAGCATGATTTTGACCAGCCATTGATTCAGCAAAACAACCATACAATCCAAAATCTAATTTTTCAATGTCTTTTATATATAAACTTGTTTGTGTAATATCACCATTTGTATATTGTTGTTGTCGAAATTTTGATATTGTTTTATTATCCATTCTATGCCAATAGATTTTTGTATCAAATGGAACTGTAGCTAAACAACGTAATTGTATGGATTTTCCAATAGTACTATGAATAGGTGTTGATTGAGCTTGAATTGATGGTGGAACTAGAATTTAATCGATAACAAGGTCATTTCTTTTCGTATACATACGGTCTACTCTTGTTCGAGGTTAATCTCATGTATAAATAGAAATTCAATGTTAAATGAATATGAAAAATTACACATTATAACCTTCGAAAGTACGTCGCTCTTTTCTTGTTGTTATAAGATCAAAAAAAATCTAGATCAACAGTTCATCGTAATTTTGAGGTAATCAAACAAAATGTACTTTTGTTTTTATTCACTAAGAATATTTTTGTTGACAATATCATAAATTATCTCATTTTGTATAGAGTATTAGTTAAACGTTGACATTTTAAATCAAAATAGTAATCTTTCCATATACATTAGTTTATTACTTCATTTACTTGAATATTAATTTTTATTCTATATATTTAAGACTAAAGCTGAAGTTTCTGGCTTAACTACTCAACTTAAATCATCTAATTGACATTGTGAATGACGTTAAAAATTTCAATTAATGAAATTGAATTTCTCTTGCTAACATATTTTAACCATAAAGTATATCATTCTCGCATTTCTCTTTGTTTCCTTTCTTTTTTTTTTTATCACAGTTTAAAGAATGATATTTGCCAATCAAGGATAGTAATGATACATAAGATATCAAATTATTTTTTTTTTTCATCGGATGATAACGATAGTCATGTTTCTTTAGCATACATACAGACACATACGATTACATAAACACGCGCTCGCGCAGAAAAACCGAAGAAAAATGAGAAAAAAGATGAAAACGATATTATTTGTTACACAAATTAAAGAAGAAAAAAATAATAACGTTTTGGAATCTGTTCACTAAAGAGCAAATAATACGAAAAAAAAAAGAGATATTTGCAACAGTAATAATAACAAATATTTAATGTTAACGAGGCATGTTAAGCAAAGAGTTATATGCGACATTTTATGAGAGTAGGGAATCGATGTTTTTTTGTTTGTTTTGTTTTTGAAGAAAAGAAAAAAGAGAAATTAATATCGATTGATTAACAGTCGATCCGTTAAAGAAGAAAAACAGAAAACTTTCAGTGACGAAGCGGTTGGACTGTTCGCCTTACTGAATAAAATCTAAGGGATATGTGTGTGTGTATAATGATACAGAAAACAAACTAGCTAAACGTAGCTGCAACTGACCAGCAGCATCTACGAGTTCTACATTTGAATTAACACATATGCACTCAGTATATGAGACTATGAAAAGAAAATAATACAGACACATACACGTACAATAGACAACAAAATGATGATAATGAAAAATGGTATAAGAAGGTGAAAAAAAGAATTACATCACCGAGTTCTATGAAAAGAAGCAGAAGAAGAGTTTTTCCTATATTTCTCATAAGCTTTCCTTCTTCGTCTTATATGCTTTTCGTAAGATATATATCACAGAGGCAGTTGAAGACAACAATGATGAATTGTTTTAGAACAATGTCAATTTGGTCTTTATACTTGCTGAATTGTAGCCGGCAACCCACATCTACAGTCTTCAACAACCATATTTGGTATATATTTACGTATAACAGGTCCACCATTTGCAATTGAATACATAAGTTCGAGACCACCTGTGCGTGAAAAAGAACAACAATGAGTTGATTGTTGATTAATTTGATTGTTTTTTGTTGTTGTTGTAGTTTTATTATGATTTAAACCATTTTGATGAAGTAAAACAAGATTATATGCTGAATTTTGATGATTTTTATGTTGGGCATTTTTAACTTCTGTAATTTTAAGTGATGTACCACCTGTACCACATAAACCAACACATTCACCAATATCCAATTGTCTTGGATAAATAACAAAATCTAATGCATTAGTACCTTGATCAAGATCAATTATAAGTGAACGTCGACAACATGGACTTTTTGGATCACAAGGTTGTGCTGGACGTGGTCTATTTATACCACGTATACCACGATGTCCAGATGATGATGTAGAAATTTTATCATATTCGACTAGCATATATGGTAATTGTTGTTGAGATTCTTTACTGTTATCTTCATCATCATTTGAACGTAAAAAATGTGTAAAACGTTTTTTTGAATAATAACGACGATAATAAGATGACCATGATGATTGAAGTTCACGATTAATTGCAAGTCCATACAAAGGCATAATAAATTGTTTATAAATTTGATGAATACTAATTTGTGTACTATTTGGATCAATAGTTAATTCTAACCAACCATCATTTAATTGTTTTATTTGACTTATTGGTAAACGTAATGTATCAGTCAAACTAGTAAATGGATTAGATGAAGTATTATTTGATGCTGGACGAAATACTTGATAAATTTGAAACATTTGTGGTATTAAACGATTTTCATTTTGATTATTAAGATGAAAATAATCGTTTTTAACATAAATACGTAATTGTTTAGCAATTTGATTTGTTGGTAAACTTGTTGATGTATGTGCTGATTTAGTAAAATGAAAACAACCAATATTTTGTAAATTTTTTTCATTAAGATTTAACTTAATTGATATTTGTCGTTGACATGCATGATTTGGAATTATATCACTAGGTAAAATAGCACGTTCAGTTGTTGCTTGACTTCCATCACTATTTAGTTGTTGTTGTCGTTCAAAAATTTTCATTTCTTCAATATGTTTTATATATTCTTGTTCTTCTGCTTGTTCTTCAAGTTGTTTAACAATTGATGATGGAATACCTGTACCATCATTATTTTGAATTGTTACATTTGGTGGTTCTTTTAAATTTAAACGATCAATTAAAAGACGTTTAAATTGTTCAATTTGTTGTTCATTAGCTTGATTATTTGTTTTACTTGATGATATTGTTATTGATTCTATCAAAGAATCATCATTTGATATTGCATCAGAAGTATCATCAAATGGAAGTGATGGAGGATTAAATGGTATTGTTGACATTGAATATCGTCGTTTTGAATTTATTCGAAAACGAGCTTGTAAAAATGATGATGATAATAGAAGAATTATATTTAAAATAATGAACCAAGATGCCATTATTTTGCCTTTGTCAAAAAGACGTGTAAAAAGATTTCAATCGATGATAATTATATATGCGTAAATATGTGTATGTGAATTTACTTTTAACACTATATATATATATATATGTATGTTGTGCCTTGAAATACGAGAAATCTTTTATTTGAAATAAATGTTAGTTATGAAGTTGATGACGTTAGTAGATAATAGTAGATGTGTAGGTGGAATTGATATCATCTGTGTTTTCGACTTAGCGAGAAATAACCGAAGACAAACGAGAAAGAGAGAGAGAGAGATGACGATGAACAATAACACAACAACCGGAAGAGACGAAGGAGAAAGAGAAGAGAATGTAGGAGAAACTATGCAATAACTATCTTTCTCCTTTTTTTTTTATCGCTCTCTTTTCTCTTTCTTTGCTCTGTTGAAGGCGTTACCACTTCCTTCTATTTTATCTCTTGCCATAAAAATGATATTGAACGATGATATTAAGCAACGTTATTAACAAAAGAAGAATTAACAATAAATAATTAAAAGCAAAAGAAAGAATAGACGAAAGCGATCTAAAACAAAACAGTCATGTCTTGATGAACATCGCATGATTTTGCGTTCATATTTTGAATTACAAAGGAAAAATTCGCTTTCGAAGATATATGATATATATGTTCTTTTGAGGTCGACAAAGGACATAATGTTCGTATCGGTTCAGATTCACCTTTAGCACTCCTAACGCGGTACTTTTATCGAAAGTATTTCGTTTAAAAAGTGATGTAATTATTCATTTATGAATATCGACCGATATCGATTCATCTTTTCTTTTTTCTTTACGGATATCCACTCACGTATTTCATATATGTTTCAAAAAGAATCTTTTCTTGATCTCCTACAACCTGTATGTATCACAGTATGGAGATAATTTTATGTTATAAGTTGATTTTTTCTCGGAAAAATATTGCACACAAACAAATGGCATATAAATTATGTTCTTTAGAAACTTTTATTTTTTAATTTATTTATTTATGAACAAACTAATATGCTTTGTTTTTCTTTTATGAAAAAATGAATTATTTCTTCTTTCTGATGAATGACATGAAATAAATTATGAGTCATATAGAGATTTTTCTAGAGCTTCATTATTCTTGTTATTCACATCGGTCAACTTGAACGACGGCGCGTCGATTGTTTCCGGTTATGCTCCTCTTTTCTTGAATAGAGTAGATAGACATAGGTCAATTTCTACTTCTTCTTTTTCTATTATTGTTTTTGTTATCTACTATTCACTGATAATGAGAATGATTGAGGTCAAATAGAATCTTGCATACCGTCGGCGTCTTTTTTCTGTCAAGAACAATTGTTCATCATATTTTTTCTCTCGTATACACATTTGTGATTAATGTAAATTTGCGTAAGACAAAAACAAAAGGTCGAACAAATTGTATGGGCGTCATAACAATAAATCTTAACATAATAATGATTATGAAGACATTCATTCTATGAACCATAACGTTATGTTTATTTGTAGTTGAAGGGCAATAAGATCGAGATATAGGTTTCTTTTTTTACATCATAGAGAAAATGATATGTTTTTTCTCATAAATGAGAAACATATGTCTATCAAGAATATTTAAATTCAAAATAAAAAAATAGAGATAATAGTCATCTTAATAAAACTCTGTTGTATGACTATGTCTATTCATTTGAATTAAGTATATGTACTTACAGAGAACACGTAATTCAATATCTTTGCTAACAACATGACCATTGACGCCATTTGATGCTCGACATTCATAATGACCAATATCACGACGACTAACATTAATTAAATAAAGATGACCATCTGTATTATTTGTTAAAACTTGATTTTCATATTTTGTTTGATTATTTTGATTTTTTTCATCTTTATTTCGACGAAACCATGTTATATAAGGTGCAGGTCGACCTCGAGCTTGACATTCCATTGTTACATTGTCGTATTCATTTATGACAACTGGTGATGATGTTGCATTGTCAATAATCATTGGAATTTCTATTTTAAAATAAAGGAAAATTTTTAATGATATCATAGAAAAATAAAATGAAACTTAAAGAATTTTTTTTTTTCTCAATTTTGTAGTTTTGAATAAAATTCAAGTACTCAATATTGGCTTAGGTTCTTTTTTCGGAGTCTACGACAATTCATCTCACAAAGGTAGTTCTTCAAATGATTAATTGCTTTTGAGTTGGAAGTAAATGCATCATGTAAACTCTACTGAGCTCTGAACAACATGAAAAGAGTGTGCGGCCATAATTGATTGTTGGCGAATTATTAAATTTTTACGGTATTTTTCAGAACAATGAAGAATACCAGAAAATTGATGTTCGACTTTGCATAGAAATAAGTCTTAGCGATAGTTAGTTAATCGTAGAAGTATCGAACCATTCGATCTACATCTGTCCTATAAATAAGTGCATCGAATCTGCGTCTGTATATGAACGATGTAAAAGACGAAATTTTCACAATAAACTGTTCTCCTCAAGACTTGTTTCTATGTCAAGTTTCAAATCGAAATTCAAAACTCAATTTCCCTGGCGTTCTTCATTATTTTGAAAAATACCCTTAAAAATGCAATATGTCGATAACAATAAGTTTTTGTTCTATACTCTTTAGAATGTTCATTAAACTCTTCTAATTGAGAATGAAGTCTTACACGATCTAAAGTAGTAATTTACTTTAGAAGTTTCCTATAAGCTATATAATAGTTTTTCTTTTTTTTTAAGGGTTTCTGTTTGCTACAGGTTTTACCTTTTGAGAACATTTCGATAAACTCAAAAAGTGCATGTCAACATTCCTTTTTCGTTTACTAGCGAAAGTATCTATGAAACTATTTCATGGCTCAATTTTTCATTTTTCACATGCCACCGTTATCTTCTCGCGGTGCTATGTGTATGATTGAATCCTATGTCTGGTCATCTATGTTTGTGAGAAGCAAAATAGGAATCACGTTTCTGTTAATTAAATATGCGACTAATTGTACACACTGCGTTAAACGAACGAATTATATGATTGTTGCATTCTCATCTGAATATATTCACGAACAAACTATTGTTTTAGAATATAAACGTTTAATATTTTAAATTGTTATGACTGAATAATGAACTGTATTTAGAGACATAGCAACAAAAAGATTTCTATGATCCTCATGTAAAAATTCATATTAATAATGATTATGAGCAATATCTAATATTAATATTCGTATGATTAGAAGTTCTTTAGTTTATTGAAGATTGTCAGCATGATTTAAATATAAAAGTTTACAATGAGTGAGAATTCAGCTAAAACTTACTCATTTCAAACTGATTAAATTGAGTTCTATTCATTCAATTGCTTTTTTTAAAATAATTCAAAATAGTTTTTAATATTAAATACTCAGCATTAAAATAGATTGCTGTTACGTTGTTGAATACTTATGTAAATATATGCAATTCAATTGATTAAATGACTTGATTTACGGTTAAATCTAGCTGTTAACTGACACTTCAATGCTTACATAATATTCTTAAAGATAACAATGTACGGAAGGAATGTGTTTTCATGGAACAATCTTTTGGCAGATGAATAATAATTAACTAAAAATCAAAGAACCAATCAGAAAATTTTTCGAAGTGAACAGTTCTAATTTTATTTTATTTTATAATATAAAATAACTCTTTATCTATTGTTCTCATTCATTCTACGGAATAAAATTGAGTATATTATTTAAAAATAAATTAACGCTGAAAAAAATGTCACCAGTTATTATGTCCTTTGAAAAGGGTGTTAATTTTTATTTTTTGGGTCTATCTAGACGGAGAAGCAAAAACAAAGTTTTGTCGGGCACATACATACAAAGTATTACTCTTACTGAAGTCTTTCTAAGGACATTTTTGAAATGATGCATTGTAACATATGAAATAAATTGTATTCTTTAATTTCACATAATAATGCATTATATTTCTATTATTATTAATTAGCAACTACATCGATAGACTTACGATAGAATCGTCTCATAAGTTTTTGAATACGGACGTCATGATATGAGTAGAGTCATATTAAATGAGGTACATCAAATTCTTTGCAACTAAAAAGTGTAACTTACATGTGTTTCTTTAGCCTCATTACACGTATGCAAAATGCATCAAGTGAAAAAAATCTCTTACAGACTATAGTTGTTTCCCAATGATAATAGATCGCTAGGTAAACAATCTATTTTATGTACTTTTGTATTTCGAACAAAAGTTTGGTTTTTACATATCTCATTGCTATTCGTTTAGTATTTTTGTGTACTCAAAAAGTGAGTACACTCTAGAATCGGTCAGTGTGTCCGTCCGTCCGGCCGGCCGTTAACACGATAACTTTTGAAAG